CAGCATTCAATGCAGGACCAGCAGGTTCTGCAGCAGCTTCTTCCCCACCGCCATCACACTGATGAACTGATGGATAAAATGGGTTTTAGAACTGTAAATATACAGTAATTTGTATGTTTTTATGTTTTTATTACTGTTGTTTAAGGCTGCACTTTAAAAAAATGAAATTGTCAAGAGCTGTTTTAAATGAAATGTCATTTTGTATACACTTGTGTATACAAAATGACAAAATCTGTCTAAGTCTCCCCAAGAATATACCACAAAATACTTCCACACAAATGACATGAACCCACTAGGGGTGTGTAGGTTATCTTTTTCCTCCACCATGTCTGTATCGCCTACTGTTTATGCAGGTGTGTGTGTGCAACAAAGATGGTAGTGGTAGCGAGGTAGGAGAGCAAAATAGGTTTAGCGCCACCGCAGCATGGGAGTCAGAATTACGTCCAGGAGCGAATGGACAAAATGGAAAAAAACATGAATCGATAGTCTTGCACCTGATATTACAACTCTTCTAGATGACGTGACCCAAGAGAAGAACAAAAGCCTAATTTACAGAAGCAGACTGCCTCACTATCTGTTTGCAGATGTTTTTCTCCAAGACCTTTTAAATTATCTCACAAATCCAAAACATAGCAGAAAGCAGAGATAAAGTCTTTCAACCCTACAGCTCTAATCATGGTAGCTGAAACCGTCCAATCACAGACCAGATTCAGGGCCGCATCAGATGATTGTAAAGTGAGCTTCTCTGGAGTGACAGCGGTGACAGCCAATCACACAAGAGAAGACAGAGGGCCAATCAGGAGCTTGCTCTAAACCAGGGGAAGCGGGCTTCATCTGCGGTTTTTCCTCTTGGTCCTAGTGCTCGACCATCGTGTACTGTAGCGTAACATTGGATGGTAAAAAGTGCAGGGGACATGTCTCCCATGTTAACTCCCCATTTCACGTCTGTGGTTCCAGGTACGGTAAACAGACAGGCAGAGATCCAGCAGGAGTCAGAAGAAAGGTCAGGCAAACAGATCAGACGGGAACAGGCAGGCTCAGAGATGGAGAGGCAGAACGGGTCAGGATGAGGCAGAACACAAGTACGACTGAGTAAGTCTCACAAAACAGCTTAAAGTGATCTGGCACTGATGACTGGTCTGAAGGCTGGTTAAATATAGACTAATGAAGGTGGATCAGATAAGCGGGTAATGAGAACTGGGCGGAGCTAAGCAGGTGTGTGAAATGAGTGATCAGACCAGACAGTGACCCCCACAGCCTCCGTAAACGTTCCGCTCCATTCCAGACCGCCTGCGCAAAGCGAAGCGTTCAGCCTCTGCAGTTCCTCCGCTCTTTCTCCGCTCTGACTTCCCTGGAGCTCAAGGAGAGCATGCTCTATATTATAGAATAATACTTTGACCCAGGGGAAGAAGCTGCTTCCTGGTCTGTTGAAATACCAATAGTTTGCATCCAATAGTTTAATGAAGCGCTCTTAGTTTTTGGGATAATATAAGAATTATTAAAACTCAGGCTCTGGCACAGTCATGTCAATCAATGAGAACTGCCTATACAGTTGAACTGATGTGATCTGGCGAACATGATGTAGTGCATAACTGTGAAGTAAGAAGAAGAGGAGACAAAAATGGAACTGTTTTTTTATTATTATTTGGATAGGGAAACATGGTGGGGGCTGCATTGGCCTGTGGGAACTTTTTTTTTCTTTGAACTGAGGAGAGAAACTGTTCACTAAAGCTGAAGCTCCACATCCAGCAGGACCAGATGGAGCCAAGGCTACAGTGGCATGCTCTAGTTTTTAATCTAATTGGCCTAGTCAAAGCCCGGAGCAGCTGAGATCAAAGTTATTCATAGATATTGAAGATTAAGTTTAGAAATAATCTCTCAGTTTCATCTGCCTGTTTCCTTACGGAAGTTTGAAGTTTGGCTGGTGGGAATTTGATGTTAAATAGTGAGAGAAGAGTTGGAGGCAACATTAGGGTGATGACACAGAGGGCTTCCAGCCTGACAGATAATCAATATTAATTGTTAAATGCTGGGGGGGGGCATGTTCAGCACACATAATTATTTTATGACATGTCTCTTTTTAATATAGATTTCTCAATAATTAGCTACAGTAGTGGGTTTGCCAATCCTGGCAGAGCATCTGCCCCCCAGCTCTGAGGCGGCAGTATGGCTCCACCACAACTGGTTGAACCATTTCATCCCATGAAGACGTCGTCAAACGTGTTTTCCAGACTCGGGGAGAGGAAACGCCCTCATTTCATCGCTGTAACCGCGGATCTATACACTATCTATAGAGCTGTCCACCATAGCGATGCAGCTTTGCATGAACAAATTATTAAGCTGTGAATATTCAACACTTTAGCAGCAGAAACCGGTGAAACACTATAAATCATAAAACCGGCTTTGATAGGAGAAAGGGGAAAAGATCAAGGTCTCAAAGCGGATCAGAGTCTCCTTCACAGGAAGGGAAGGTTTTCCATTTCCAAAGTGTTAGAAGAGAATAATCTTTGTTTAATAATCTTTTAAAGCTAACCCATTAGGCTAATGAGGTGTATATATTTAAGGCTTTAAAACCTAATGACTTTCTTTCTATTAATGCAAACATTGTTAAATGACACATTTGCTCAGTAAGGTTGTCCTAAAATGCAGCAGACGGACGCAGCATTCAGGCGAGACAGAAAGTGGGAAGTTTCAAAACATTTAATGGCAAAAGTTAAATATAACAGAACAGAACAGATATAACAGAGGATCAGCGGACCTGCAGCGGCTGCAGGGGGAAGGCGGGGCATCACTGGCACTCTGGGTGTGGGAGAAACACAGGTAAGTGACCCCGGTAATCTGACATAAGATGATTATCTGTGTGAGTCACTTACCTGGTCTAACAGTTCAGTCCTTCCTCCCAGCCGATGAGATGCGGCGCACAGCCGTCCAGAGCGTCCCTGATGCAGCAAACCCAGAGAGAAGGCAGGAGACCGATCCAGGTCAGGGAAACCGTTCAGAACGGGACCGTTCTTAGATCCAGCAGTCAGAAGCCCGACCAGCGGTTCTGATCCAAACAGGAACAGACAGATCCAGGGTTCCAGGAATCCTCAGAGCATTCAGGCAGGTTCAGAGTTCCATGAGTCCAGCAGCGAGTTCAGACAAACAAGCTCAGATGGAGACAGGTGGGCTCAGTGGAAAAGAGACAAGACATGGTACCAGGATAACTGCAGAACTTTAAACTGTCTCCATCCAGGAACCACAGGAGTTAAAACTGGCTTTCCCTAAGAGCCAGGACACGACCAGGAGACAAACACTAACTCCCTCTCTACACCCGTCCATCCGTCACCTCCACCTCGCCCTTAAATGCCACGTGGGCGTCATTTGATGTAGTGCTAAAAAAATGTAAAAAACATAAAAGAAAACCTGTAAATAAGCAGCAGGTAAAAAATGTCTGCAGCTATAAAATGCAGCGCCCCAAAGTCTGGGTTTGAAAAAGGAAGGACAGAGAGGAGAGAGAGAGAAGGTGTCCGATACAGGGAGCAGTTTATAAAGAAAGCTTCGTTACCTGAATAGTTTGAATTAATCATAGATTATTAATCTGTTGAATAAAATAAGATCTGCTGGATAAACTACTGAGTTAATCCTCCATGTCGGAGGGGAATCACATCATTAATGATGCAGACCGGCTGAAACCCAGCATGACTGCAACTTTTTATTATTATTTTGTTGTGTTTCATTTTTATTTCATGATTTTTTTCTACATAATGCTAACAATAAAATCAAACGGTCTCCAGTTGTTTCTGCTGTATCCTGGACAGCTGCAGGATACAGCTGCAGGTGGATTATAATCTGTGCCAAGATTAAAACAGTTAAGTTAGATTTTTATATTCAGATTAAATGACAACCATTAAAATACATCTAAACATCTGGATCGTTCTCATGAGCAGCCTGAAGCAGAAACATAAATAAATGCATGTTTTGTTGTCATTAAATGTATAGATTAATGAACAGTGACCTATCAGGGCATAAAAATATCTGTCCTTTAATAATGTTATTATTATTCATGTGTTCATAGATACAGCTGTGCTTTTTAAACAAGCTGTTATTGATGTAAAGCAGCAGGTGAATGAAGCGACCAGGTGAATCAGCTAGCGGGCTGCAGTCCCAAAGGGAGGAAATTGGAAGTTAGCACTTTGTAAAAAAGGGAAAATGTGTTTGGCGACGTTAGAATCATTTAATCATTAGAATAACTTTAAATTATGTTTATTTTTATTTATAAAGACATTCAGGCTCATTTATGACTTTTAAAACTAAATGTTTTTTCTTTGTGAAAATGTAAAAATAAATGAATTTGCTGTCAGTCGCCTTGTTCTTTACCCAGACCGATGATCTGAGGTCTTTATCAGATCACGGCGCGGAGAAGCTGGAGGAGCAGGAATGGACCTGATGGCTGATCTAGATCTGATTTCTGGTACATCTATGGTCTCACTATTGGCCTCAGGAGCATCCGCTTTCCTTCAGTGTTTCTCAGAAAACCAGATGGGAACTCGGGACAATCTGCCAGACCTAAAGTCTGTCTGATGCCAGCTGTGGTGGTCTGTGTGTTTCTGCGCCTCATGGTGTTGCCCCTGGCAACATGATGCTGGTCAAAGGTCAGATGATGTTTAATGGTTCACTGATCTGAAGATAAAGAGATCCTTAAAGAGACGTAGTCAACTTTAGAGATTTTATTTTGAAAACCATTTATAACCCAACGCACAGATGACACATTTTGAAGAAAGTTTTGAATCATAAAACCAGTAAATCCATTTCTTCACGCGTTCAGTCTGCCTCTGGTGCAGAAACCTTTGAAAACAGATGGAAGGAGAACTAAAGAAGTTTGTTTGTTCCTGAACGTCACATGGAGCTAAAACGATGGCGGCAACAGATTTAAAACCTTTCTGTCTTTTCTGTCCCAAAGCTGAACAAAGCCGCCTGGACTCTGCTGCTGGAGCCTAGAAACCCTGTACAGGTGTTAACATGGTAGAACCACCAGCTCGCCCTCTGAGCTCCTGGCTGATGGTCTTTGATGAACTCTGCGGTTTTGATCCGTTCCGTTGGACCAGCCTCAGTCCTGGTGAGTCCATGGAGTCTACGTCCCTGCAGCGTTCAGCAGTGGATCTCATAAGCTATCTGCGATTCCATGAACGCTCCTGTGTGGTTGAGAAACCTTCCTTCAGCCTCGGATGTGACGATGGGCTCGGCTTCGCCTCCCTCCCCGGCCATTCTCCTCATGGTTCCCAGGTCGGCCTCCTGCTGCTCCTGTTTGCCCTGCGGGGCGGGGGGGCTGACAGGCCCGGTCTGGCTGGAGGCGTCGGACGGAGAGCGGCTGGTGGAGGCGGCTGTAGGAGGAGCGGGTGGAAGCACGGGCTTGGCTCGGTTCAGGACGAACATCTCGTGGCCTCGCTCGTCGCGGTACTCCTCCAGCTGGGCGAAGGTGGTGGGGCCGTCAGAGTAGTCATTCACGTACAGGATGCTCTCCTCCTGCAGGTTAGAATTCATCTCCATCACTTCAGAATGAACACATGATGCAAATCTTCACACTTTTCAAACATTCCTGTTACTTTTTTCACTTACAAAAGCATCAGTTTGCACCAGATTTTAGATGATATAAGACATTTAAAAACAGGCACTTTAATCTGATGATCTGCTGCAAAAATGCATCCTGTTTTATGCTTCTTCTCATGTTCAAATAAATCAGATAAATCTTAAATCATTAGAATATCTTCAAAAAGGTCCATATTTTCATCACTCATTTTATACCCTGTTTGATTTCCTGTTTGTTTTTGCTTAAATTAACAGATTAAAATATAAAAGCCTTTAGTTTCGGTAAAGTTGATCATTATGGCTTAAAGGGGAAACCTTCAACCAAAAAATGAAGCTTTGTTTTATAATTTTCTGGAAGGGGAGCAGGTTAGTGAGCGCTAGCTTTAGCATTAATATACACCGGATATACCAGCGATACATGGCAACCTGCAAATAATCCAGGTCAACTGCTATATAGTCTTCCCTTAGCTCTTTGCTGCGCAGATATTTCTATATCTAACATCACAACTTTGTGCTATAGACACTCTGCTTATATTGTCTGTTGTAGTTTTATCATTAATTTCTTCCCATTAAGGCTGATTGTTTCCTCTGAGCCGCTGTCAGAAACTGTTGGTCAGTCTATAGAGCATTGGTCAGTCTATAGAGCGTTGGTCAGTCTATAGAGTGTTGGTCGGTCTATAGAGCGTTGGTCGGTCTATAGAGCGTTGGTCNGTTGGTCGGTCTATAGAGCGTTGGTCGGTCTATAGAGCGTTGGTCAGTCTATAGAGCGTTGGTTGGTCTATAGACCGTTGGTCAGTCTATAAATTGTTGGTCAGTCAGTAGAGCCCTGGTTGGTCAGAGAGTGTTGGTGGGTCATAAGAGCTCAGCTTCTAGGTGGTGATATTAAAAACAGTGGAGCAGCTCACCAGAGTTCACCAGAGCTCACCAGACTCAAAGTCTTTAACTTTAAATAATCTCCAGACTGGATGTTCTGTGAGGCAGCAGGCAGAATCAGAACCTCTAACTGCTTCTTCTCTCCTTCCTGTTGATGGAGTCACACGGTGAACGAGCTCCAAAGCAGAAGCTGTGAGATTTAGACGCTTCAGGGTCGTTTCAGCTTCCTCTTCCATTAAACCAAATGTTTTACATATTTTATGGCTGTGATCTATCTATCTGTATATCTATATCCAATATATACAGTATCTATGGCGAGCACTGACCAACCCTGTGATGTCACTGTTTGAGGTACGCCCTTACCAAAGAAATGATAAAACAAAGCTTCATTTTTTCCTTTGCTTTCATATTTTTTACTCTTCTATGATAGTTATTGAAAATAGTGAGACACGATCTGGTGAATTAAGTTAGTTTGGTTGAATGTTTCATTTCCCCTTTAATGACAATAGAAATCTCAGTTTCTCAGATATGTCCTCTCTCCCAGCCTTTGATCTCTCATCAGGTTCACAAACCTTCACTACATCATTTGGAACATTCCACCAGAAATATGAGATATATCCTAAGTTTAGTTTCCATATACAGTCATCTCAAACTATTTATATACTACTGTGGAATTTAAAAACTACGCCTCTTAAAAAAGTTACTTTAAATGGTAATTAGTTTAAACAGGAAACAGTGATTCTGTAAAATACAGAAACCTTTTCCTTCAAAGTTAAATTAACTTGAAGTTAAATTTCTGGTGAGGAGGTCTGTAGTGGGAGAGGTCTGGATTGGACTATACTATCTATCTATGTGTACACCAGTAGATCCTTGGACCTGCTGAGAAGGACATGAATGAAACAAAATGTGCTGTTTCATTTAGTCAGATAATTTGCACCTTTTCACCTCCATCAGCATCTTTGTCTCGCTGGTGACGGCTGTAGATCATGGCAACCAGGAGCAGAGCGGTCAAAGCCAGCAGGGAGATTCCCACAGCAATGGCAGTCTGCGTGGCAGCTCCCAGAGCGCTGAAGGCCATGCTGCCCAGAGCGTACAGAGGCTCCCGGCTGACATCGGATCCCAAGACTGGACCGTGGCTTCTCAGCCAGGGCCAAGCTGGGGAAAACGGAGAGGACACCTGAGACCACGAGGCCCAAATGGAGGAAGAGGAGGAAGAGTTGATGGCGAGCTGAAAAGTCACCCTGGCTACGCCTCCTGCGTTCCAGGCCTCGCATTCGTAAAAGCCTACATGTGCCACGGTCACATTACTGAGGAAAAGCATGCCGCTGCCGGTGTCGGGGTCAAAGTACTCGCCGGCCGTTTTCTGCAGGCTGACTCTGCTGTCAGATGTCTCCTCTGCTCCTGCGCCTCCAGCACCAGTACCCAGCTCCTGGACCAGAGCCCTGGGAGCGTCCACTACTTGACTCTGGGTCGCTTTCTTCCAGGTCACCTGCAGACATGGAGGCCTTTATGGAAGGAGCTCTTTCTGAGCAAAAACATCAACAACATTTAAAAAACAACCTATTTAGCATGAATGCTACGTTAGATGCACAATAAACTGGGATGAAGGATTCAGATCATTAAAATATATAAAAAAAAGATCATTAAAAAATACAAATATGTATGAAATATTTAATAGCCATCCATAAGGGGAGCCATTTTGGGAAGTGGATCAACAAAAGAAAAGAATGAGACACAGTTTATTAGTAACCGCAGCAACAGAAGACAGTGATCATTTCAAAGCCTATTAATAAACCTCAGACCTCACACAGCTTCAGACAGGGACTGGAGGACAGGGGACACATCCAACTGTCTCACTGAGGCTGGGGGCAGTCTGGACTCTAATGAGGACAGGTGGACACCATGTGGTCTGGGCTCTAATGAGGACAGGTGGACACCATGTGGTCATGGTCTTTCAGGAACTAGATCCAGGAATGTCTTTGGCGTTTCTACTCAAACCCAGCAAACCCAGTAAGACTGTTCAGTATTTGCCTGGACATTAAGCTGATGCGCCATCAGTAGTGAACATGAACCGCCTGATGCGCCATCAGTAGTGAACATGAATGGCTCATGCAACGTCAATAGTGAACATGAA